TATACACACAGACATATATACACACTCAGAGACCAGTCAGAACCCCCGGATCAGAACACCTGTTTGTGAGCAGTTGTGAACATGCGTGTATATACAAGATTTACTACTTTTACTTTTATTGGAAGTCGTATTTGACCTGTTTGATCAATTCTTTGTGTTGTGAATATATTCATGCATTTTCAACCAGAAGCCTGTTTTTATATTAAGCTGGACCAGAGCTGTTACAGATTAATTCAAACCAACAGTTCCTACTTTATTCTGACCACCTGGAACCAACCCAAGGACCGCCTGGGGGTCCCCGGAGCCAACATTTGGGAACCACTGCAGTGGGATCACCGTGAGTATTTGTGGGAAAACGCCTCTCAAACGCTGCCAAAAGGATAAAGCGATGCGGCCGGATTGATGGGACTTCCACAGAGGAGCGAGCTGGAGTGGAGCGGGGAAAGTAACAAGGACACGCATCACAGTGGGTTTGAAGGCGCACGAGATTTAAAGCAGCGTGTTTGGAGAGGCCGGAACAGGTTGGAGTGTCTCCAGTGGAAAGTTCCCACCAGAGGGGACACGTCCAGCTGAATGGAGCAGCCCCCGCCCCACCACCCCTCAGCCCGCTCCCATGATTCAACTAGTTGTCAAGAGTTCAATGACCGACTGCAGGAGTCCCGTGTGTCGTCATCACAACAACGCGTTCAACTTTACTTCTATATAAGCAATTATTTGAACTATCAACAACAGGACTTCGTCATCCAGAGCCTTCACGCTCACGTGTTCACATAAGAGACAGTCTGTATCCGGCAACACGCGCTCACCTCTGGGTTCAGGAAAGGCTCCGATCCTCCGGGCAGAGACAGTCCGCAGCGCGCGCGCTCAGGCCACGCTGGTCAACATTGTCACAGCGGGACAGACAGACAAGAGCAGCAACAGGAGGAGGAGGAGGAAACACTGTCAGATCAGGCTGCAGGGCGGCTCATCTCATGCAGCCGAGGAGAGAGAGGAGGAGGAGGCACGAAGCAACACGCGAGAACACAACCCCGCCTACTTTAGGATAAGCCACGCCCTCAAGGCGAGGGGCAGTGATAGTGGGGCCATGCGCGTTCAGATCTGTGGTCAGAGGATTAATGTTTTTTGTTTTGTTTTGTTTTTTTTTAGTTTTATTTTATCTTTTTTCCTCAAAAGTTATGTTGAGTTTAAACGTAGTAGTTTAAGTTGTTCGGTTTTAAAAGGTTTCTTTAAAATAAAATATCTTCAGTAAAAACAATGTTTAGTTTTTTTTTGTGCATTTTAAAATAAATACACAAGTTTTGTTCATTTGTGTTTTTTTTTTTTTTTTTACTCAATATCAAGGTACCTGTTAACACTGGCAGCAAACCCATATTTAATCTCCCCAGAAAGAAAATAATTCATGTTTTGAAGTGGGTTTTATACAAACGTAACGAACAATTGATATCTTATCTGGTCCTAAATCAACTCAGTCTCTTACACTTTCTTTATATAAACACTATTTAAAAAGTGTTTCTCTTTAAACTTGCATTTCACTTTTTTATCAAAGAAAATTATACAAGTTCGCGTCAGCAGCATGTGGCGATTTTGTTTTTTACAGAATGCAAACCTGACAGCCTTGTAAAAGCTTTATAAAATAGATTAAAGTTCACATGAGATGCTCTGAAATCCTTGTAGATCGAACAGTTTTTAAATGACAGTGATCCACTTCGGTATAGGCTGCATTCAGACTAGCCACTAGCTCGACAGACATTTTCTGCAATCTGAGATGAAGATCTATCTGAAGGCTGTAAGGTATTATTCATACCAAACTCCACTTCCAGAGATCTGAACTAGCCTTTTAATAACTGTCAAAGTATTAGTATTATTATATTGTAATGTAAACACACAGTATGTGTATCAATAAGACTTTAGGTACAAAAGTGTTAGTTTAACTGTAAAATTCAATGGGGTGTTACTCTTCCAAATAAAATCATAAATAAATAAAAACACAGCTCCTAAAATGCTCCCTGACGGGTTTCTGTCATTGTGAAACATTATGACGTATACGTTCACATGACCTCAACACTAAAGAAACAGCTGCCTGCCAGTCAGTCCTTTGTGATGAAATAACTTCCCATTCAACTTTTAAAAAATGTAACTTTAAAAAGACAAGATAAAACAGAAACGTTTGACCAAAAGGTAAATAAGGGTGTTGAGGAAAGTTTTATACAAAACCCAACATTCTCATTAAGACTAAAACAAGCAAACACGTTCTGATGTACACCAGGCTAATTTAGTGAACTCTAAAATAAGTGTGCCATCTGATCTTTATTGAGACAGAGATTTAAAGGGACATAATTTAAATAAATTAAAGAAAATGTTTTAAACCAGGGTGTCAAACTCATTTTTACTGAGGTCAACATGAGCATTATGGTGGCTCTCAAAGGGCCAGTTGTAGTGAACTTCGACATTGCCTGTTTAAGTTCGATTAAACAGAAAACATCACGTTCCTCGTCTCCTTGCTACAGCTGAGCCCGTCTAACAGACAATAGCAAAGCTATACATGGTACCTCCTGCAAAGAAACAGTGTCTCACCACATCCCCCTATAAACACTGAAATGTACTACGTGTACGTGTAGAACTGAATTCATGTGAAATAAACAATACATAAATAATATTAAAAGTAAAAGAGTTTTACCATCAGATGTCAGCTACTACTGAACCCTGGGTACCTCCAACTAGTGGTGGGATGCCATTATTTCAAGGGTAAAATAATTGACATGCATTATGAAGTTTATTACATTGTTTGTGGTCAATGCTGACTTTAAAACACCATGTCCTCCTTTTTAGACAATACATCTCTGAAGCTCTCATGAGCCACATAAAATATTATGGCAGACCCAATTTGGCCTGCAGGCCTTGAGTTTGGCACATTCGCTTTCAACCATCAATTACATTTATGTGGATTTCATACTAAACACAAACCCAACTGCTGAGAAAATATGTTCTGTAACACCTGGATGGTTTACTTGTAATTAAAGTGTTAAAAATTACCACAGGACTCTGCTTCATAAATATCCTTGTGCCAGGAAAGAAACATTGTAATTTTAAAATAATAAAAAAAATCTGCTACATACTGTATTAATCATAGCATTTAAGACCGTGACATATAATTATATGATATAATTCCTTTTAAGATAGTAATAATGAGCATATAGGAGGCTCTGTGGTACACCAGAAGCTTAGGGGCAAGAACGACACTCCAGTTTTAATAAAAACCCTGTTCTGACAAGTAGAATCTGAAATCAAAACATTTGCCAGGAGGTTTGAATATTGCACAACAGGGGGTCAAGTCTTACTCACACACATGTTATGTTTTCATCTGCCTGAGCGTTGCTGGATTGCTCAAGACCTTCAGATGTTTACTGCTTGACTTGTGCTCAGCACAGAGGTGAACAGTGTTCGTGTAATATAGGCCAACGATGAGAGATAATGAGTGTCTGGGATGCGGAGATGCTTCTAGTTGTCAACAAGCAGTAGAACCTTTACTCTTACTGCTCTGTCTGCTGTCTCTTTCCTCCAGCAAGATCTGATGACGACTCAAAAGGATGTTGCAGGAATCGGGAGGATCATATTCCAGAGGCCGAGCCTTGGTTCTTTTTCTCCACTGCAGCCCAGCTCGTTCGTTTTATTTGCCGGCAAATCTTCTGACAATCACAAGAAAAGGCTGAAATGTCCTCCTTGATTTGTCTAACAATCCAGCCTAAAGTCCCCCCCCCCCCCAACACACACACATACACACACTTAAATTCATCCACTGGTTCATGAGATGTTTTACAGACAGATAGACAGAGAAGGGTGATACCAAACTTTGTAAGTACTTTTGAGTTAAGTGTTTAAGTTGACTCTTGGCAGTGGTTCATAAAAAAATTGTAATAGTCACACAAATATTCACAAAAAACAGGATAATAAATTATCACCCATCTACAAGCAGTGGGCTATAATTAAACTATGACCAGAATCACTGAGGGGAGCCACTAAAACAGCAAAAATAATGGAGGTTATCTATTTTGTTTTGTTTTTCTCTCAATTATTATCATGACTTTAGAAAAAAAGCTCTGCCTCAGACTAAAATGACACTGGGAATAATAACTCAGCGTTTAGTTCATTTCTCATACCGCCTGGCAAATGTCCGACCTGGATATGCTGAAGTGAAGGGAAAACCCTGCAGGACTCCAAAGTGCATAAGGTCATCAATCCTGAGCTGTTTGGATGAGTCTGGATCAACACAAGAGGTCTCACACTGTGTGTGTATAAACACACTTAGAGGCCAAACTGCTGCAGCCTCTGGGTCACACACATTCCTACACACAAAACACTCGTCAAAATCAAGAGCCTCCATGAAAAACAGGCATAATTTAATGCAACATAATCTATGATAGTCAATGCAATCGTGTGTTCAGTCATGATTGAGTGGAGGGATGTAAAGTCAAACAGTTAGTGTATGTCTTTCTCTTTAGAATCCCAATAAACTTTGACAGAATATGTATTTTAAAAAAACTGACTAAAAATACTTGCATCCATCCATTTTCTGCCACTTATTCGTAGTCGGGTTGTGGAGGCAACAGATCCAGACATCCCTTTCCCAAGCAACCCTTCCAGCACTGGGGGACCTCAAGGTGTTCCCAGGCCATAGAGGATACATAATCCCTCCAGTAATTCCTGGGTATTCCCCGGGGCCTCCTACCAATAGGACATGCCCGGAATACCTCTAAAGGGGAGTGTCCAGGAGGCATCCTAAGATAGCCAAACCACCTCAACTGACTCCTTTCAATGCGGAGGAGCAGCGGCTCTACTCTGAGCTCCCCCCAGATAACAAAACTCCTCACCCTTTCTAAGGTGCCTGGCCAAAATATGAAGGAAGTTCATTCGGCCACTTGGATTCAGAATCTCATGATCCACACCCCATGACCACGGTGAGGGTTGGAACGTAGACAGATCAACAAAGTGAGAGCATCGCCTTTTGATTCAGCTTTCTTCACCGTGACCGACTGAAGCATCACCCTCATTACTGAGGACAAGGCCCAAATCTGTCAATCCATCCCCTGCTCCATCCTACTATCACTCGTGAACCAGACACCCAGATACTTAAACTCCTCCAAGTGAGGCAGAGACACCCAGCGGGGGCATACCACACTTTTCTAGTGGAACCGACTCTCATCCCAGCAGGTCTTGGCCCAAAGACGCCAACAAAACCACATCATCTATAGCAGAGACAAGACTCTGTGGTTCCCAAACCAGACACCCTCCTCTCCATGACTGCACCTTGAGATCCTGTCCATAAACACAACAAACAGGATCAGAGACAAGGGAAAGCCCTGGCGGAGTCCAACTTGCCTGACCAGCTTGACTTTGAATTTGTTTCAACAATGCGGACATGGCTCCTGCTTTGGTTATACAGGGACTGAATCACAAGACACTCCATACTCCCACAGCACCCCTCTCCCCCCACAGAATGCCTCATGGAACACGGTCATAAGCCAGGTCCACAACACAAGGAGACCAGAGAGGCACACTTCCACGACCCCCTTAGCAATTCAGCAAGGGTAAAGATCTGGTCCACTGTTCCACAACCAGGACAGAAACCACATTGCTCCTTTTGAATCTGAGGTTCAACAATCAATCACAGCCTCCCTTCCAACATAGCCTGCTGAAGTAAACTTTCCTGAAGGGGGCATGAAGTGTGATCCCACCATAGTTCGAACACACACTCCAGTAAAAAAAACTTTATGCTTTTTAAATTGTTTATTGCTTGTCTTTAAATGAAGAAAACATTAACCTCTCAATTTCACGTCTATACACCCACATCTAAACAAAAACCATTTTATTAGTCAGCGTGGTGTTTTGGCATGATGACGCACACAATCACCATCTTTTTGAACGAGATTGGGGCCTTCTCGTGAACGTGTGGTGGCAAGTTAAAACCCCAACAGTTTGATCGGCTGAAGGAGAATATTTCTGTTGCATTATGTGGTGGGGCCCTTCTGGTAATCCTTTCTTTTGGATGTCACTTTTGGTTAAAATGGTTTGGAACTGTGAGTCCAAACAACATATTTACTCCCGTAACGAAAATATCCCTCACAGCCACCCCCACAAATACAGACACCCACCCACACAAACACACCCAACACATCAGGCAGATTTGACAGAGCATGAATTTTAGCCCACAAACCAGCCTGTGGTTCCTGGACGAAGCTCCGACTCTCGCCCCTCTGCAGTGACTCGTTCCAAGATACAACTCCCCAACATCCCATCTCAGTCAGTTCAATTAAATATACACAAAATTGTGTGAAAGCTCCTTTATTTTGTTTCTTCTCTGTATTTGATTCCTGCATCCATCGTGCACGTTTGCATAATTTATTTGCATCTGGGGAAAGAGTGGAACGGTGACTAATGTTTCAAGAATCAGGAATGCAGGGTCTGTTCCCTAAAAGTGATTTTATACGACCACTCAGAGGTGAGTCAGGACTATGAGCTGCTGCCTGGAATAGTGGCTCATCTGTGATGTGGCTGTGCAGAGGGACAGCAGGATGACCACAGAGTTCTTTGGACCACAACAGTAGCTGAAAAATGCATTAACATGTGAGGATGTTTTTCTATCACTCCTGGCACAAAGTATGGACTTTGTGAGGATGGTCTTTCAATTGTTATATATCGTAAAAACATATAAATAACTCACAGATATGCCATAAAACTAACATATTTTTTTCCAAAATTTAAACTGGGTTTTAAGAAACAATAAAAAACTAAAAAACTTTCAATTTTGTTTGTACTTGGTCCAGATTTTAGAGACTGACTGGAAAAAAAACATGTTTTGCAACATTTCATAATAATGTATCTTCTTGAAAAAAGTTTCCTAATGCTCTCCTTTGTTTCAGCTGACATCTCTCAGTCATGCGATTCATGTCAACCTGCTTTGTGCAACAGCTGCCAGCTTTTTTCTTTCTAACCGAAGAGTTGTGAACAGATTTAATCTGATGCAGGTGTTTGTTTTAGGACTGCAAATTACAGAGTGACACCACAATTTATTATCCTTTACTTTACCTAAAAAAAAAACAACTGTGACTGACTACAGTTATAATCCTAACTTTGAATTTGTTTTATTATTGCCAAAAAGTTGAAATTTTGGAAAATAATACATTTAATGCTTTTCTGTGAAATTAAATGATTAAACGAGCTGTAATTCCATACTTTTTGCCAGGAGTTGCACCTTTTGCAACACAATTCCAAAACTGTTCCAGTTCCAAACCATTTGAAATGTTTAAACTAATAAAGGATATCCTTTAAAAAGTAAGATAAAAAAGGTCATTTTGAATCTTATGGTAGCAGCACATCTCAAAATACTCTGTTAAAAGCAGGAAAAGGCTGTAAAAGTGAGTAGCACAAACAGCTTCAGCAGCATTTTGCAAATATATATATACATATACAGTGGGGAAAATAAGTATTTAGTCAGTCACCAATTGTGCAAGTTCTCCCACTTAAAAAGATGAGAGAGGCCTGTAATTGACATCATAGGTAGACCTCAACTATGAGAGACAAAATGTGAAAAAAAATTTGAGAAAATCATTTTGTCTGACTTTTAAAGAATTTTTTTGCAAATAATGGTGGAAAATAAGTATTTGGTCACCTACAAACAAGCATAATTTCTGGCTGTCACAGACCTGTAACTTCTTTTTAAGAGGCTCCTCTTTCCCCCACTCATTACCTGTATTAATGGCACCTGTTTGAAGTCGTTAACAGTATAAAAGACACCTGCCCACAACCTCAAACAGTCACACTCCAAACTCCACTATGGTGAAGACGAAAGAGCTGTCGGAGGACACCAGAAACCGAATTGTAGACTTGCACCAGGCTGGGAAGACTGAATCTGCAATAGGCAAGCAGCTTGGTGTGAAGAAATCTACTGTGGGAGCGATAATCAGAAAATGGAAGACATACAAGACCACTACAAATCTCCCTCGATCTGGGGCTCCACGCAAGATCTCAGCCCGTGGGGTCAAAATGATCACAAGAACGGTGAGGAAAAATCCCAGAACCACAAGGGGGGATCTAGTGAATGACCTGCAGAAAGCTGGGACCAATGTTACAAAGGCTACCATCAGCAACACACTACGACGCCAGGGACTCAGATCTTGCAGTGCCAGACGTGTCCCCCTGCTTAAGCCAGTCCATATCCAGGCACGTCTGAAGTTTGCTAGAGAGCATTTGGATGTTCCAGAAGAGTATTGGGAGAATGTCATATGGTCAGATGAAACCAAAGTAGAACTATTTGGTAAAAACACAACTCGTCGTGTTTGGAGGAAAGTGAATGCGGAGTTGCATCCAAAGAACACCATACCAACTGTGAAGCATGGGGGTGGCAACATCATGCTTTGGGGCTGTGTCTCTGCAAAGGGACCAGGACGACTGGTCCGTGTACATGAAAGAATGAATGGGGTCATGTATTGTGAGATTTTGGGWGCAAACCTCCTTCCATCAGCAAGGGCAATGAAGATGAAACGTGGCTGGGTCTTTCAGCATGACAATGATCCCAAGCACACTGCCAGGGCAACAAAGGAGTGGCTTCGTAAGAAACATTTTAAAGTCCTGGAGTGGCCTAGCCAGTCTCTCGATCTCAACCCCATCGAAAACCTTTGGAGGGAGTTGAAAGTCCGTGTTGCCCKCCGACAGCCCCAAAACATCACTGCTCTAGAGGAGATCTGCATGGAGGAATGGGCCAACATACCAGCAACAGTGTGTGCCAACCTTGTGAAGACTTACAGAAAACRTTTGACCTCTGTCATTGCCAACAAAGGATATACAACAAAGTATTGAGATGAACTTTTGTTATTGACCAAATACTTATTTTCCACCATTATTTGCAAAAAAATTCTTTAAAAGTCAGACAAAACGATTTTCTCAAATTTTTTTTCACATTTTGTCTCTCATAGTTGAGGTCTACCTATGATGTCAATTACAGGCCTCTCTCATCTTTTTAAGTGGGAGAACTTGCACAATTGGTGACTGACTAAATACTTATTTTCCCCACTGTATATATCAGCCAAAATGGGAACCGGCAGGTTGGAAAACTGCAATCGGTGCACCCCTAAATTTATTTTGTAAACAATGCCATATTATCAACATTATAGAAGAGTGGGCAATCCACCCTGTTTGTAGTGCACAAATTAAACAATTTTTAATGCCTTTGGCATGGGCAGCTTAAATGCACCATCGATGCCAAAAGCAATAAACAAGTTGGTTAATTCGCCAGCCCTTCGAAAACTGCTACAATTGATTACTTTAAACATTTGCTCTATTTTTCTCTGTTTCACTGTGAATAAAATATGGGTTCATGAGAACATTACACATTGAACACTACATCCCAACTATGCTAGAAGTTTGGTTTTATTTCCAAGGTAATTGTTTCATGTTTCATTTTAAAACATTCATGGTTTTAAAGTTTAAATGATACTTTGCTCTTGTTTAATTACAAAATTATTTATTGAATCAAAAAAAAAATCATGTAAACAAATTCAAATTGTGCAACTCTTCAAAAAAAAAGCAGTAGCTTATAAATTCCTCTATTGGTGGTATAAATCGAGTCTAGCACAATTTCATCATTTTTACAAAAATAACAAAACAAGCAACACTGCTGTAGGCTTGTCTGTGTCCATCTTTGCAGCGTCGGAAATAAAGCAAACTAAATCTCAAATGAACTATTAAACCAAACTCCCTTTTGTCATACTCCAACATGCACAGCAGCATTTGTGTTCATTCGAAAAGGTGATTCAGCGTTTTTTTTTTAAAGAACCGATGGATGCCATTTAATGGCAACGTCTGGTGTCTATCACTGCTCCTCCATGCAATCATTTTGACAGAAGCAAAATATGATGCAACTTTTCTTAATTTAAGGCACTATATCCTTTACAAAAGCTTCTTTAACTGCTGGTCAGTAATAAATATCCATATTATCAAGGTGATGACTCAGTAATTAATAAAGAAGCTAAAATTGTGCTTCAAAACAGCAAAAAGTTTCCGCAAGTTATCAGCCATTCTGGACAAGAAAACAATGCGAACATCAGAACAAGTTAAGGTTAGATGTTTCAGCATGAAGGGGGAGAGCTATCAGGCACAAGCAAACTACCATCATTTTGGTCCTCTGAGTCAGAAATGACCGTCATCAATCAAATCCTGCATCAAAATATCACAAAGAAAGGCATCGCTGGTGAATCTAAACATCACTAAATCTGGAAATATGATCAAATTGACAATGTGTGCAGCAAACATATACATAACACTGACTGAGCAACAGTTATAAGGCACCCATAACTTATTGTGCTGAAGGCAAAAAAGAGAGATGAACTAAAAATCAGCCTAAAGTACCATTATGTTTGCTTTCATTGGCACATTTTTCGTACAAAGCTCCTGTTTCAAATATTAAATCTGGGTTCACATGGCAAAAATATTCAGGAACATGAATAAGTAATGAGCACAGATATTTTTCAAAAAGCTTCTTTTCGAAGTTGATGAACTGAAAATTGTAGACATCACCTGTGTATCCTTCACCTTTTTGCTCGAACTGCAACAAATGTTTGGCTACTAACAAACACTTCCATTACAGAGGAATAAAATAATCATCAAAGTGATAATAAATCTGCATGAAAGCTGCATTGATTCAACCATAAGGCCTCAGATGCTCCATATAAACTTAAAAAAAAATCTCTTTTTGTTTGTGAAGTGCAAAAAATAATAATAACTAAAGATGTGACTCAGTCCAGTTTTACAAAGGCTTTTTGTAAGCTCAGTGAAAAAGCAAGCCAAATAGGAACCCCAACCCTGTTCTCTCACAAACTGAAAATTGAGGGGTTTTTTTTGTTATTGGGGTTTGGATGTTGAAGTTCAGAGAACTGCTGATGAGGTTGCTTGAATAGTTCCCCGTCTGCCGTTCACTTGGACCGTCTTTGTGGGCACAGAGACCTGGAAAGGAAAAAAAAAAGGGAAGAAATGAAAAGTTTTAACTTTCGTTTTTCTGCACTAAAGCAACGTGATGCAACACAGACAAAACGTTCAAATTCTTCATCCTACTGGGAGCTAATTTTACCCGTGGGAGGGCGGGGGGAGGTCTGACCAAAAGCTGAACTCTACCTACTTGCAAATATTCATACATCAGCAGCATCTGACTGTCATACTGATCTCTGCACAATATATGCAATTCATCTCAAGTTTCCTGGGTGCATCATGGCTGCAGAAGCACGACACACGAGACCAGAGCAGATGAGAGAAGACTCAGTTTCATTTCACTGCCTTTCTCTGTTGCTGTCTTCCCTCACTCTGTCCTGACTGTCTTTGTGTATTCTTTCTACATCTGCAGATCAAAGGATGAGAAAGATATTCAGATGCACCCCACAAAACAAAAAAGTCAAAAAATAAAAAATAAAAGAACGGGAAGTGAATGATGTAAAAGTTTTAAGCTTCCATCAAACTACTGTTTATTTTTAAATCCAACACTAATTCCGATTGAATGCCGAAACTTCCACAAACACTTCGAGGCGTCTGGAGTGAGACGGATCTCATACAGTATGTTGCTTTACCTTTTTGAGCTTCCCAGCGCCAGATCCAGAGCGAATAGCCTCCAGCATCGCCTCCCTGGCCATGGCAGGGTTCATGGGAGTGTTTGTTTGAACTGCAGAGCTGGGTTTACCCTGGGGCAGGACAGGGGGAGGAGGGGGAGGTTTGCCGGTAGGGGGAGGAGGGGGTGGGGAGGTAAAGCCAGGGGAAGAGCCCGTCGGAGCTGGAGGTGAAGGAGAGGAGCCCTCACTTCTCTCCTCCTTAGAAGTTTCCTTCCTGAACTGCTCAAGCTCACTGGCAGCCTTAGATTTTGTCTGTAGAGAGAAGGGAGATAACGTTCACTTTGGACAAACAATCACACGACAGACTGACACAGAAATGTAGCTGCAGAGAGACTGACACAGAATGCTCAAATTCATTACTATATTCATTTCAGGCATACACACTGACAAGATATCCTTATATTGTTATGTGTCATTGTGTGAATGAAGCATTCACACAATTGAGATCTTTTTTTTCCCCGTACGTTTTTCGGCATCTAACTTGTTCCACAATTTTTTTGCTATTTCAACAATTCATATATCAAAACGTTCAGCTCATTCATGTGAGGGGTGCTATGACTTTTGGTATTTCAGCTTTTTACACTTTTTTAGCTATTTCACTTTTTTGCTGTTGAAAATTACGATGGAGCATTAGGGCCACACGAGATTTTTTTATTATTCTTACGAGATTAAACTCGTAATGTTATGACTTTAAACTCGTAATATTACGACTTTAATCTCGTAATATTACGACTTTAATCTCGTAATATTACGACTTTAATCTCGTAATATTACGACTTTAATCTCGTAATTTACAACTTTATTCTCGTAATTTACAACTTTATTCTCGTAATTTACGACTTTATTCTCGTAATTTACGACTTTATTCTCGTAATTTACGACTTTATTCTCGTAATTTACGACTTTATTCTCATAATATTATGACTTTATTTTTTATACGACTTTAATGTCTTAATATTATAACTTTATTCTCGTAATTAAAAAAAAAAATCTCGTGTGGTCCTAATACTCCGTCATAGAAAATGAATGGAGTTGTTTTCAAAATCCTTAAACTCCTTTAAAATGTTTCAAATTCTTTACAGAACCTTACACATTTTGCTCTGGTTATGCTCTTTTTCACATTCGTGTGCTAAGTTTAGCTACGTTTTTGCTATTTCAGCTAAAATTCTGCTTCTTTCTGCTATTCTTCTGCCTTTTTCTACTTTTTTGTGCTGATTTCTGCTGTTTATGCTTGCTATATTCATCTTTTTTGCTGAATTTTTTGCTAATGTTTAGCTGCTATTAGCTAAAATTAGCTTATCTAAGCTAAATACACATTTTTTGTAGCTATTAAAACTTTTTCCTGAAAACTTTAGCGAACTTGTGCTCCTTATTATGCTAATTTAAATTCTAGCTACTTTTTAGCTGTTTTACTTCAGCCTTTTTAGCCATTTTACTACTAATTATGACTTTTTTGCACTCACATGCGATTCTTCTGCTAGTTTTACAATTTTACAACACTTTCTTTATCTGGGTGCTAATTTCAACTTGTGGCTTTTACCTTTAGCCTATTCTATGCTAATTTTAGCTTATTTATGCAACTTTAGCTATAGATCTGCTTCTTTCTGCTATGCTATTGTTTTATTTTATTTTTATGCCTTTTGCTGCTACCTAGTGCTATTTATACTTCTTGCTGATGTTTTCAGCTATATTTAGCTATTTTAGCTCTTAGCTTTTAGCTGTTTTCTGTTTTCAACTAGACATGTGCTCCTTTTTATTGTTTTTCTGCAAAGTTAGTCTTTTTTGTTTCTTTTAGCTTTTCAAAGTGTGCTCACATTAACACTTTTACTATTAAATATTTCAGCAGCTTTCAGTTGAAGTTTTCAGCATGAAGCATCCACACGAGCATTTTCACAGGAAATGCAATTTCTCTAGTTCTATTTGTAGTTACGTATGTTACTCCACTTTTTATAGTTTTTTTTTTGTGGGATTTGCTACTGAACCATATGATGGATGTAGACCAGTCGTTCCCAACCCATTTTCCTCAATGATCCACCTTTCTTTCTTCCAAGCCAAGGTTGTCCCAATTTGTGGACTCGTGTGGCTGACAAAATCCCAAAAGGATACCACAGGATTTTCTGCATTGTCAGCAAACTAAACAGACAATCAAAGATGATGTTTTTTTTTTTCTCTTTCTTGTATTATGTCGGTGTAGATTGGAAATTCATCAAGGATTGAGGAATTTGTTTTGAAATGTATGTTTAGCAACTTAGCTGCTGAAATTAATACTGCAATTAGATGTTAAATAAAATGCCATTATAAGTGCTGATACTCGAGCTAAACCTAAATGATTTTTCCTTCATTTACGCGTAATGTTTTAAATTGTGAAGTTATTCGTCTAGTGAAAAGTCGTGTGAATACATGTACCAATGCATTTCAAGTCTTAAGGCACATGATATAAAACATATCACTATGGTAAATGGGCAGCATGTGGTTACACAAACATATGTTATTAGGCTAGACCATCTCATTACACAGTAGTTTTATACAGTCTAACCAGACTGCGTAGAATATATCCTATGTGGGCCGTGGTCTAGGTAGGCTGCAGCAGTATGCTCATCTGTCGCACATTCCTCTGGGTACTGACAGAAACACAGTAGCAGACAGATTTTGCATAAATACTCAGATTTTTGTACCTTTTTCAGCCTGTTCATGCTTTGGGCTCTAATGGCAGCCAAAAGAGCAGATCTTTCATTCTCCTCCTCAACGTAAGTCGTTCTCTTCAGATTACTGGGGTTAGTTGATATCTAATGAAAGCAAAAAATAAAAAAAATTAAAAAAAGGCAAACAAGGAGTCCTGTCTTTATCCAAACACAGTTACTTTGTTTAAAAAGTAAAACCATAATCCATTGGAAAAATCTTGTATATACATGCATGCTCACAACCACACACAAACAGGTGTTCAGATCCTGGGGTCATTGAAGGTATCTATCTATCTATATA